ATAGCCACAATCAAATTAATTTATATAGGCATGAGTATAATTTGAATAATAATAATTAAAAATATCGGTATCATTGAAAATGGATAAAGTCATAAATAAAAAAATAAATCGTAAATTGCTAAAAATAATAGTTCCAGTAAGATTTTGCCTTACACCTACATCTTTTTTTCATTCTTATATTATAATAAATGTTTGTTATCAAATATATCAAGGATTGATTTCTCAATCCATGACTAGATTGAATGTCATGATCCTACAGTTCCAGAGGATCCCCATCACCATTAGTCAATAAGGTTTGTAGAAATCACCCCAGGCATACCATCAATGTTTTGTAGCCTATTTTAATGTAGTGTTAATAAAATGACATTGAGAATAGTTATTTAAAACAATCTTATTAAAATTATTGAACAGGTATGACAAGATTACTTTCTTAATGTCCTAGTGTGAGGAAGATGTAAGCCATTTGTCCAAAGATAATCATATGCCTTATGCCCATACAAATGAAGTGTCAACGCGAATGATTTTTGATCAGAGTCATATGTTCTAATTTTTTAAACTTTTCCAGAAATTTTTCTGTTAATTTATTTGTTACATTAAATACTTGATGTGTATTTCATATAAAAACTTGATTATGCCAATTTAGTTAACTTGTTAGGCATTAATATAAAATTGACTCTACTTGTAATGGTGATTGGTATGATGATGATGATCCCAGTCCTAAGCAGGGTTTATTATTCACAATGTCATTATGCCCTTTCTAAGTTTTAATAAAATACATGGAATATTGTTGAATGCATTTTATATTTTTTGTATAGATAAGAATGTTGCAATGTACAATGATGATGTGAATTGTTTCCTTGTATAACTGATGACATATAAATATAACTAACTTGAAAACATGGGAATGCTTTCCTCAGCATTACCTTCCTTTCTCCATCATAACCCTTATAATCTTTATTACAGAAATGGTCACTGCATATTCTTGCATTTTTTGATGGAAGCCATTTGAAATCATTTATTTCCTGTCTGATGCACTTAATCCAATCGTTTTGCATTTTTACATTTTGAGGAAATCTGAAATTTTATAAACTGTTACAGAAACTTGTGCATTTCTTAAGTATTGCTTTTAATAATAAAATGGTAATCCATGATAGCATTATAAATTATAATAGTCTATAAAATAAAATATATGTAATTGTAAAACAAAATAGTTCTATTCAATGAGTATAGGGATATTGTTACATTTATTTTAGTGTAAATTTAATTTGAAAATAAACCTGTGAAAAGATGCATCAGAAATTTTCTCATTTCTATTTATTATTAATGCAATTTTTAATGCAACAGGTAGGCATGTTTGTGTATAGCTACGAAAATGAAAATTTACTTAAAAACTAAATTATTGTATCTGACACGAAAATTAGTACAGAAACAAAAACGAAAGAATAAATTACAATATAAAAATTTAAACATTGATTGAAAGAGTTTCTTCTAATTATATGGTATGGGCAATTCGTTGCGAAATCGTTGGAGAAAAATAATAGAAAGTAGTTATTTTACTACATGGTAGTTAATCAGCCGGTATAAAGGTTATATTCAATTCCTATCAAATAAATTTGACAAAATATCATACACAGGCAGAACTAAATAAAGAAATAGATAGATATATACACGTAGTTATAATACATTTATAATGTTGTATTTACACATTCAAATTGTACAATTGTGTTATGGTGTAGTCTCAAATTATTTTGAATTCTCTCAGAAAATTTTAAACGTTTTACTACGCTATATATACTAGTTATTTTTATCAACAATTTAAAAATTTTATCAATAATTAAAAAAAAATTTCAAGTTGATTTCATTGCGATATCGATAATGATTTTTGTGACCTGACTGATTAAAAAGCATCAAAAAAAGTTAAAATAGGATGGAGAATTTGTTATATTGGGATATTCGTTTAAAAAGCGAACAAAATTTTAATATAAAAGCGCTTATAAATCTATGCATATTAGCTCAGCTTGGCTTGGAATCGGATGTTAAGCAAGGTGTGGTCTTAAACTATTTTGAATTCTCCCCGAAAAATTTAAACTGCGTGCGTACATATATAGTAATGATTACTGTTGTTTTTTTTATAATGAATTTATAAAATATATAAATGTAGCGAGCAAAATATTAACATAAAAGCGCTTATAAATCTATGCATATTGGCTCAGCTTGGCTTGGCTTGTGGAATTGGATGTTAAGCAAGGTGTGGTCTCAAACAATTTTGAATTCTCCCCGAAAAATTTGAACTGCGTGCTTACATATATAGCACTGATTACTGTTGCTTTTATAATGAATTTTTATTATATATATATAAAGTGACTGGAATTCATGTATACAAATAATTAAATTATATTATATTAGATTATATGTTTATATGAAAAGCAATATAGCAGATTCAACCAGCCAACCAGAAAGTTTCGAAGGCGTTCGTTCGATGACTTCAATTTAGTACAGTTAGCATTGTGGTTAAGACTGTATAATAGTGTAGTACATACATTAAACAAGTTTTTTACTGATGCGAATGATTGAAATGATGGGAATGTATGGTTGAAACGAGTATAAATAGAGGAGCTGAGACAACATGAAAATCAGATCAGCATTCTGCCTCGCTTGAAGCAGTCTGTCTGATCTCATTTATTTTATTTTTAAAATTTTTTTATTTTATTATATAGAGTTATATAGAGTTTACATGTTTGTAGGTGGTTTGAATGTTTGTAGGTGGTATTTTTTTAATTTTAGGTGGGTTCTTTAACGGTTGCTCATACATACATACATACATCATGTTTGTTTGTGTGGTAGTATTTTATGTTCTGTTTTACTCCTTTTTCTCTTTCTTCATGAGTCTTGAGTTAAGTTAATGAAGCATAGGTAGGTGAGGTAAAAATTAATTTATTATATAGGTAGGGTTAGGGTTAGGGTTAGGTAATTTAGTTACATAGGTAGGTTAGGGACTCCTATTCTTTTACTCTACTTGGTGGTGTGATTTTTGTTTTGTTTTTTTTGTTTTGTTTCACATCATACATTCAGCAGGTACGCGGTGGTTCTTGGTTTCAGTGGGATTTTTATTGATTGAATAGGGTTATATAGAGTTATATAGAGTTATATAGAGTTATATAGAGTTATATAGAGTTATATAGAGTTATATAGAGTTATATAGAGTTATATAGAGTTATATAGAGTTATATAGAGTTATATAGAGTTATATAGAGTTATATAGAGTTATATAGAGTTATATAGAGTTATATAGAGTTATATAGAGTTATATAGAGTTATATAGAGTTATATAGAGTTATATAGAGTTATATAGAGTTATATAGAGTTATATAGAGTTATATAGAGTTATATAGAGTTATATAGAGTTATATAGAGTTATATAGAGTTATATAGAGTTATATAGAGTTATATAGAGTTATATAGAGTTATATAGAGTTATATAGAGTTATATAGAGTTATATAGAGTTATATAGAGTTATATAGAGTTATATAGAGTTATATAGAGTTATATAGAGTTATATAGAGTTATATAGAGTTATATAGAGTTATATAGAGTTATATAGAGT